GTTTGTTTACTTCTTTACTTCCTGATTTTTCATCTTCACTATGATTGTTTTCTTTATCATCTTGTAGTATTTCGAATCTATTTCTTGTTTTACTTAGCCAGTTGTCTAATTTTGCTTGTTTGATAGTTTGAATAATTTGAGTTTCATTGCCTGGACTGCTTCGACTGCTTGGACTTCTTTTGTTAGAAGCGATTTTCCATTCTCCAGGTTTATCTTTATTGTTGGATGACGAATAATCACTTACTTTTATGGCCATTGCGGCCGTTTTGTTTTGTGGTTCTGTTTAAACGTGTTTCACCTTTAACTGTCACTTCACTAGATATGCTATTGCTCTAACTATAACTTTTCCGGTAGAGCGCAGTTTTAACACGTCTACTCACCTCAAGGTTCAAACGCTAAGTGAAGATTGAGTTAGATTGTCGATTTCTTATGATATTGCGCTAAAGACAGAAGTATAATACATGTTTTCAATATATTTGTTTTCAGTAAAACGGGATGGGATTTTCTATTTTATCACAGAACTAACCTAAAACGCAGTAAAAACTAAAAACGCCCTTTTTCATCAGTTTTTCGCATCTAGCACTGTATAGATAATTCTAAATAAAAACTGATAGTTCCATCTTATTCTATGTGAAAACATACGTCGAAGCATTTATAATACATGTATTATAAGAACCAATTAGTCATGAGAAATCAACGTTCAAACTATCAACCTTCAGTTTCCCATCGGTACACAGCGCTAGAAGCAAAAAACTGCTGAAAAAAGAGGTTTTTCAAATTGGTAGGTATGATATCGTGTTAAATTCTTAACATTTTCGAAAATCATTTACTTAACTATTTTATGTAGAAAGAATTTTTTTTTAATTCAGACCTGCAGCACTCGTCTCAGTGAAGATAGAGCAATTTGAAACATTTTTTTCATTTTCTAGGTTAGCTATCGTCGTGAAAAATTTTCAAAGAAAATCACAGTGAAACTAGAGTATATATAGACTAAAATGCCTTAAACCGGGATCGATATTTTTTTAGAATCAGAGAACAAAAATTTTAAGCAAAATAGCCATTTTTTTTAGTTTTAGGCGTTTACAGAAGGGATAGGAAGACCCAGTCGACGGAAAACTTTATGTTTTTAGATGTAGAATGGATCTATGAAGTTAATTTCACCATTCGGGAAAGGGAATTTCGATCTTGTTAACGGGAAGTATCCTTTAATTTTAAAAAATTTTAATGTTTTTTCTACTTCCCCGGACTAATAGCTGGAGATGTAGATGTATATCAAGTACATTTTACACTTCGGATAAATAAAAGATGGAAGAGACTAAAGAAGAAAGCGAATATGAACTCGCACATGCACTAACGAAGGCGTATGAATCTCTGCATTATTGTAACAGAAAATCTTCATAGCCAAGTCTATCGCATAGTGTCAAATATAATTATGTCGGAGATTGTAGGAAAAAGTTATAAAGTATAATGAAAAAGAGATGATATAGATCTATAAAACTAATAAGGCCAGTGAGACAGAAGAAAAATCAACGAATGGTAGCAAAGATGTGATACTACCAGTAAAAGTTATTAGGCTGTTACGTCTCGTGCATCAACTACGAATAGCTAATGAATGAGACGTTCTAATATGTTGACTAGTGGTTGGATATGTCTCACTTATAATAAATGTATGTGGAAATGTATGTCTGATAATTTTACTACCTTGATAATTGTAGCTTTTAATTGTTGATAAAATGTAGCAGGCTCTAACTGCTTGTTGGATTGTATGAGTGTAGCAGGCTCTAACTGCTTGTTGAATTGAATAAATGTAGCAGGCTCTAACTGCTTGTTGAATTGAATAGGATAGGTTGTTGAATAATACTTGCACGATATTACTTTGTAACAGTCGCGAGTTTATTAAGTAAAATGATCACCAATTGTCGGACCGGTGTGTACGGAGTTGAGTCTTACAGGTACACCCAACGTGGATTGAATCGCGACCCCCCCCAGTTAGGTTGGTATGAGAATTCCGTCGTTGCATCGGAACGAAAAAACCGCGGGAATATTCAAAAATGAAAATTCGTTTTAAGATACGATAAAAAGCTAAAGCGTTACTAATTTGTTTTTAGGTTAAAAATTAATTGTTTGCGAACAATGAATTTAGATGCATGATTATTTGATTTTAGGTTTTAATTATATAATTTAAGAACGAGCGTTATACTATGGCCGATCTGAAAACCACCGTTACGGACTGAAAGTAGCACTCTACCAACCTAACTGGAGGGGTCGCGATTCAATTCACATTGGATGTACACAAATAATCATGCATCTAAATTCATTGTTCGCAAACAATTAATTTTAAACCTAAAAACAAATTAGTAACGTTTTAGCTTTTTATCGTATCTTAAAACGAATTTTCATTTTTGAATATTCCCGCGGTTTTTTCGTTCCGATGCAACGACGGAATTCTCATACCAACCTAACTGGGGGGGTCGCGATTCAATCTACGTTGGGTGTACTTATTGACTGACTGACGGACTACTGATCAACTGCTGAGAGTAATTTGTTCATTGCTTTTTATATCTTTTATAGCTCTTTTCAGGTCAGTATTGCGATATTGTGTGACATTTTGTTTTCGCTGATTATAAATTCTTGCGTTTTGGTGACTTAGTTTCGGAGTGTGTTTCGACAGCTTTTTGCTGTCGTGTGAATAGCTTAGCAGTTTTGAATGTGCATATGTTACAAAAAGGATGCGTCGTAAGGCTTAATTTCGAAGAGTCATTTACCTCGCGTTTAGTTAGCTTTTTGCTGACGTGCCAATAGTTTAGTAGCTTTGAATTTCGCGAATGTGCATTTTATAAAAAGGATGCGTCGTAAGACGTAACAAGGCATACAAAGTGTATACAGAAATGGCTTAGTAGACAATACGACCTCCTTCCTATTAATTTTACGTGACTGTTAACTGTCCTGAAATGGTTTTATGGCTACTTACATTATGTTGATATATTTCAGAATGGATAATGCCTTATATATCAAAGAATTGAGGAGATTGTGTAGCATATTAAGTTCCAGTAACCTCGATTTAAATAAGAATAAAACCAATTTCAAACTAAATTAAGAAATTTATTGCCTCTCGAACGTATTGAGGTGACTGATTGACTCATAGGAGGGATGAGACACGATGGTAACTGTAGCTCCGTAATCGAAAAGCTGAACGATACATCGAATGACATTAAATGGATCAACGACGTAGCTGACGTAAATAAAGTAAACTGACTGATGTGTATTGAAGACAGGCAGGAGAAAGAAAGACATCATGATTGCTTTTCCTTCAATAATCTACCAGTGAATGGGAGTGTACATTAAAAATCGAGCGAATTGCGAGAAGAGACTTAGATGAGGGTCGTGCAAATGATGAAACAAAAGGAAAATCTACGTCGATGACTGCCAAACCCACCAGCAAACTAGTTCAATAACCGACCAAGCTTTCAACGTCTGAAAGGAGGTTGACGTTTACGACCAATAAATTTAGCAACAAGTTCTTTAGTAATTGGCATCGACATAGCTAGCTTGTTATAAGTAGCCAGAATAAAGTTATTACTGGATTATTTGCCCGAGGCTAACCACGAACAAAATCATTTTTAAAGTCATGGGATCGAGGAACATGAACACGCCATAGCCATCAAGAAATTTACGTGCCCTTTCAATAAATCACGGATATTTATTATATAACCAAAATATAACTTCGACGCGCGTACAAAATGATGGCGTGTCATCACCGTAACCGCCTCGAGAGCTGGGTAGCACGTAATTATGCACTATTGGAAAGACTAGCATTCTTCTCGGCCCCGTACTTCCTGAGCCTGTAATTTTAGATCAGTGGCAATGACTGCTCGCTTTCCTGTCCACTCGGATGGCCGTCCATACACACGTACAGAAAAGAGAGAGAGAGTGAGAGAGAGAAAAATAGGCACACAAACCGTCGACTTCGCTGCTCCGATAGTCTATTGCTGCTGGTAGTAATGGTGACGTAATACTGCTGTAGCTGCTGCGTCCTTCTCTGTCATTTGCAATTCTTCAAGCGACCCTGCTGCTGCTATAACTGCACAGTCATCACTGCTCAGTTCATCGTATTTTTGCCTTGAATCTCCCGACTCGCAAGCGTGCTCGAGACAATGTTCCTGGGAAAACCGGGTACGACCGATGCCAAGGCATAACTGACTCCGATCACCTCAGCAATCGGTTTCTAGCGCTTCGCGCACATTCTCTATTCGTGTCACAATTTCTCGTCCCGTCTGTTTCTCTCGTGCGTTTGGAGATTGTACGAAACTAGTTCGCGCTCACTCTCTATTTCTACTCCTTCTTACGCTTCTTTTAGCTCCGAAGATATACGTCGCACCTCGAACAAAAAAAATCAGGCGTGACTGTAGATCAAAGAGAATACTTAAACTTGATAACTGCGAAAGAAGGCAGAAGGCGAGTACTGAATGGGGAATCGGCTAGCAGATCCGAGTACCCCATTACAAGCTTGTAATGGGGTACAGCAGTACATGAGTTTCGGTGATATAAGGTATTTATTTTATCCGGCATACATTTAATATCAATATCTAGCTGTGCCATATTGCCATTTCAACCCTCTCTACGCTAAACCTTCGTATTAACTTTTCTTCCCCCAAAATTATAGTCACGTGCTCGATAAAGTGTTTTGGATTGTGATTTTACGCACGTCTACAGAGGCACCAATATATCACAATAGATGCCGATCAGATATATTTTCACACTGCAAATCAAGATCGTAGTGAGCCTTACATCGCAGTGATTGTTTCAAATAACAAATTACATACTGTAATAATTAACAATAAATTTCCTGCCGTCACAAAGCTTATATATTCAGTCTTTATTCTCATATTTGGCACCAATAATATGATATTTTGGAAATTTTCAGTGTTATATAATATGAGGTTTTTCTTCAATATAACATAAAAAATAATAATAAGTAGAATATAGTAATAGAAAAATACCTGACTAGTTGTTGCAGTTTGATTATATACACCAGTTGATCCACATGAAGATGGTAATGTTTGATTGAACGTATTCGGTTTAGTATAAGAGGAACCATATGACGTTTGAGCTGCCGGTGTCATTACTGAAAAAGTATTATTACTACCTGTTGTTGAGCTAGTAAAAATCATTTGATTTTGTTGAGAATTACATGAATATGTACTGAAGTTACTGCTCGTTGTAGAAGTCGAATATTTCGGAGATGATTGAAAAGTTACTGGGGAATTATACGATGAAGAACTATTTAGTGAAGTATGTATTTCTTGCTTCATTACATCAACCGGCTGTAGACTCGTGTTTCGATTTGTGAATTTTGTTTGAGCTTTTGAACTTTCATTAGATTGGGATTGGTTATCTCCATGTAGCTGAAAAACATAATTTTATTTATGTATTCAATTTAAGAACTGCGTTTAAAACTGGTTGTCTAAATTAAATAAAATAATACCAAACACTTTCATGACCGTATTGGTAGTGTAAGAAAAAGTACATTGTGTACATTAGGTATTAAGAGGGTATCAAAGGTGTTGTTGTACTAGATGAATTTTTAAGATAGTGGATATTTTTATTTTATAAAAATTAAACCACACTCACTAATATATATGAAAATTTTTTACATAGTTTTAATGATCAAAAGAAATAATAGAACTGAAAAAATAAATTAAAAGAAAAAAAATTGAAATGAAAAAACATTTAAATAAATTAAATAATTTTTAACCCATTATAAACATAAGCTTATTTTTGAAAAATGGTAATATTTGAAATTATTAGCATAGTATCAGGTGTAACTGAATCTGATATGTGAAATTCGAACTCTCAATAAAACGAAGAAAATACCATAAAATCCGCTTAATATAGTAAAAATTTCAAAATTCTGGAAATTTCATGATGGCTGTAAAATTGGCTTCAGCAAGAGTAAATAAACTTAATACTATGTTTAGTAATTAAATTCTGTAGGTTATGACCAAACCATGTCTTAGAAATACAAGAATCGATACAGGTTACAGAAGTTGGGAGTTAAGACAATTAAGGTTCAATTATCTACAGTTTACAGGCCTCACAGTTTACAGAGGTTGGAGGTTAAGGCGATCGGAGTTTAAAGGTCTGTAGTATGCTGGATACACATATTAGGCGATCGGGCTGTTTTAATATTGTTGCGAAATTGCTAATACCAAACATTAATCAATGATATCTTAATGAAAAAAAGATATCTTAAATCCAAAAATTATGATGTCTTTATAATGGTTTTACTAGTTCTTGGAAAAAATGTATTCACAGTGTTCCGTAATCTCGAACATAGCAAATAATCGCAATTTTTACACTTTTAGGTCAGGATATCTCAAGATCCTTAGATGATGGATCAATTCTGAAACTAAAATTGAATTCAGCTCGTCGAATACTTTCGGAGATATATCATCGCATTTCTGGATTTCCTTGGATGTCGGCCTGTGTAATTAATAATATTAATGTATTGAAGTAATATTAATATCACACATAAATATTTTTGAAAATACCACAATATTCAATATGTAAGACAAATCACCCTGATAAAGCACGCGGTGAAACACCATCAATTATTATTAAAAATACAATTAAACATCACGTAAACAAATCTATTAAACAAGTCTACCTACAAGCTATTAATGTTACAGTTGAAAATATAAAATGTCCATTTATGCTCTGTGCTATATACTGTTCTTCTAAATATTCAAATAAAGAAAAATACAAAAAATACTTTGATACTTAGGTACATCGATTTGTCGCAGAAGGTGAATACAACACAAAACATCCATGGTAGGGATAAAGGTCATTTTTACTCCACATTCAAAAGGAGCTCAGTAATGCTAGGAAAAAAATTTAATTTCAATATTTACGGGTGAACCTACCTAATAGATCGCCGATTTAAATGAATTACCTAACTAAATCGACTTTGCAGTCATCAAAAGACTGCTTCAAAAGATTAAAAGCCAAATCATATCCAGATTTAACTTCAGATCATTCCCTAATAATTATACACGATTTTTCAGAAATAAACACTAATACAAAAAATAGTTCTATCTACAATCGAAAAAAAACTGGAATACATACAGAAAAAACTAAACGAAAATTTAACATATAAAATACCTCTTAAAGCTAATCTACATGACATAGATAAAATAAAAGAAAATGTAAATAAAATTATTTACAACGCAACCCAACCCCTTAATACTCAAGCATTTTTAAACACATCCAAGTTATCTCAAATTGATTCTAGAAAAATTAAAAGAAATTAGACAATTAAGAAAAAATAGAAGCAAAGTAGATCAAAAGCTCAAACTTTTCTTTGGACATTTTCAATGATTTACTCTTTGAATAAATACTCGAAGTGGATTTGGAGTATCCAAAAAATATCACGATGCGTACGAAAGAGCGTTACGTAATCCACTACAGAGCACTGAAACAAGTAATAAAGTATGGATTGTATTTCAAGATGACTCATCGTGCTTTAAAGTACAATAAGAACGCATGGCTGAAGAGATACTTTGATTTAAATAGCGAGACGCGTAAACAAGCGGGAAATGAGTTTGGATAAATACTATCAAACTACTGAATAATACAGTTTATGGTGAGACTATGAAAAATGAAAAGAAGTCATGTTGGTAAACAATTGGGAGGGGTGATATGGTGTCGAAACTCACATAGCTCGGCCAAATTTTCAAATTTCCTTATAAATACATGCTATTATATTCAACTGGGGATGTCGTATCGATGAAAATATTAATTTAATGCCAAAGTTTGTAAATGTCTCTCTCCATTTAAGTGATGTAAACTATGTATCATGATGTGACATTATTCCTAATGGTTTATCGAATTTCAGAATGTAATCCTAGAATAATTTATTTATGACAGAAAGTATATTTCCTTTTGTGATATTGTATAAGACGACAAACTTTGAAAATAAATTTATAGTCGACAAAATATATTTTACTCCACTAACTGATGTTGGTAAAGGACCGTAAAAATCTATTGACAGAATTTCTTTCGGATTACAAAAAATTGGTTGCACAAATTCATCATACCGCACGGTCAAATATTTAGTTCGCTGGCAAGCAATGCAAGACTGTATTAATTCTGAAATCTTTTGTAAATTTTTGGTGCAAAAAATATTTCTCCTATTATTTTGAATGTCTTAAAAGAACCTACGTATCTGTATGCATTATAAATATCAGTAACGAAATTTGAAAAAATAGTTTTAGAAATAATTATTTTATTTATAGCATTTACTACTTTATACAAGATATCATTTTTCATTATATAATTTCTAGTAATCGTTTCTTCGTTATTCAGAATTTTATTTTTTATTATAGTGCAATAATCATCAGTTTTTGATATAATTTACAAGCCATTTTAATAATTTAATTGTACGAGAGGGGGTCAATAAGTCTTTATAAAATCCAAGAGATGGCGCTCATCACGCTTAAATTATGATCTTTTTGGCAAGCAATACTACTAACTCGATATCGTACAAAGTTTCATTAAATCGTCAATTCATTAAATCGTTTTTTTGTGAGCGTTGGTTGAACAAAAAGTTATTGGTTTATTTGGAAAATGGAAAAAACAGAGTTTCGAGCGGTGATAAAACTTTTTCATTTGAAAGGCCTTGAACCAAAAGAAATCACAGTTGAGTTGAACGCTGTTCATGGCAAGTTTGCCCTTGTGTTTAAGACTGTTTATAACTGGGTAAATGGATTTAAACGCGGCTGTACAACAACAAAAGATGAACATCGTTCAGGACGCCCCGTAGAAGTGAGTACGCCCGAAATGGTCAACAAAATTCACGGTATGGTGTTGAGTGATAGAAGATTAAAATTGCAAGAATTAGTTGAGGCCACAGGAATATCAAAGGGTACAATCATTTCAATTTTGCATGAAAAATTGGGGATGAAAAAAATATCAGCAAGATGGGTGCCGCCTTTGCTCACTATTGAAAACAAACGAACCCACGTCGTCACATCTGAGGCTCTTTTGGCACGCATACGTCGTAATCCGGAAGACTTTTGGAGTCGACTCGTAACTGCAGACGAGACATGGGTACACCACTACACTCCTGAAACCAAAGAACAGTCCAAACAATGGATTACTGCAGGAGAACCAGCCCCAAAGAAGGCAAAGACAGTAAAGTCAGCTGGCAAGATTATGGCCACGGTTTTATAGGATGCGTATGGAATCATCTATATCGACTACTTGGAAAAGGGCCAGACGATCACTGGACAATATGATGCGTCATTAATAGGTCAGCTGAAACAAAAAATCAGAGAAAAACGTCCTCATTTGAACAAAAAAAAATGCCTCTTTCTTCAAGACAATGCTCGAGTTCACACGTGTGCAGTTTCGATAGCAAAAATTAACGATTTAAAGTTCGAATTAATTGACCATCCACCATATTCCCCTGATTTGGCTCCCAGTGACTTTTTCTTATTTCCTAACCTCAAAAAATGGCTTGCCGGACAACGAATCACGTCGAATGAAGAAGTCATCGCCGAAACAATGCCTATTTTGAGGGTTTTCAGAAATCATATTTTTATGATGGCTTAAAAAAACTGCAAGGCCGTTTAATAAAATGTATCGACCTTCAAGAAGATTATGTTCAAAAATAAAAAAAATTACATAAGCAAAACTTTTTTTCCTTCTTTTTGTAAAGACTTATTGACCCCCTCTGGTATCTATGTTTAATTCTATTATTGCTATCGTTTTAGTTATTATTATATATCAGTATCTTTATTAATATTCGCTTTAGAATGTATTCGTCTATTTAAATAATTCACGCTTGAGTTTCGTTTTGCTTTAACACACTAGCATCTGAACAAACACTTTTCATTGTTCAATTTTAATTTGTTACTGTATGCACAAATGAAAGAAATTTCGGAAACAGTGTCCCTTACGTTTTCAAAAACGCTCTTGCGAATGGAAGTGGTTACAGGTTCAGAAGATAAATGTAATTATTGGTTAATTGGAAAATTTGATTAAAAAATTTGTTAATTGAAAAAACAGAAAAATTTGATTTTTTGATAAAAAAATTTCTTTTTGTTTTTATTTTATTTTTTCAATTGTAATATTTACTTCTGTTCATCAGGCTTTCTGACATATCACGAATCGTATGATAAGAATTAATTATTAATGAGATTATCATATTATTCGTTTAACTATTGTTCAATTTCCTCAACATAATAATACAAAAAATCAGAAAAATTATAAAAAACAAAATTATTGCAAAAAAAGAGAAATAAAAAAAATGAAAACAAAAACAGACTCTCTACATTACATTTGCCTCATCATTATGAGAACTGGACAACGGTAATACCATTAGCCGATAAACAAACGGTTTTTT